GATTTACATATGATATACATATGTATTCTTGCTAAGATTTAATATGTATAAATATTATGTAAATGCGATAATTAATTACGAAAAAAATTATAATTCTTTCTTCAAATGCCATCATAATGAAAAATTGTTTCAATGCTGCAAATAAAATTTTGATATCTCTTGCCCCCGAAATTACATACAAAAATATCAATGTCCATATGTTCATATTTAAACACAAAGCAAGTAGGCATGAATGAATATAAAATAGCGAATAATTCTTTTTACTACTTACATTATAATTCAAGGAAGCAATAACAACACCTCAAAGAGCAAAAGGAGAAAAAAACACAAAAAAGAAATATAAAAATTTCTTGAACCTATGAAGCAGAGAATATTGCAAAATCTTCTTTGGTATGAAGCAAAAACGACTGAAGCGACGTCGGCAGAGATTTGAGTGATTTAGGTACCCATTAATAGATACCTAGAACAAAAATTAATTTCTATGGCATTGTGACTCTATAATATTTTTACTCAATGCTTTTACTTAGCTGTGCTTATCTTGTTTACAATTTGTACGTTGTAACTTATTGGAAAATACATACATACATATGTTGTTGTTGTCAGTCACGTTTCATGTTGTATTTTTTGTAATGTAGCGCATTTTGTTTTTGCTTTTAAATGAAAAAGCCTTTGTTACTATGTAAGTCCGTTGAGCTTTGCTATTTCTGTTTACAGTTGCGGAAAATGTAAACAAAAACAAAATATTTTGCGTTGTTTTTGTTTTATCGCTGAAAGTTGTTTTGAAGAAAAATATGAACTTGTAATTCGATTTTGTATGTAAAAAATTGTAAATAAATTAATTTTTTAATTTTATTTAAATAAATGTTTTTTAGGAATATTTTCACAATTTAAAATTTTAATGAAAATGTAAACAAGTAAATTTAGATAATTATGTTATTCAAAACAAAATAAATTTTTTTTAAATAAATTCATTTTTTTTAATATAATTTATAATATAATTTTTTTTTGTAATTTTTGCTTACTGATAAACGAGGAAATTTTAAAATTCTGTTGCTAAGTGAAAATTTTATAAAATTATATTAAATTTGGCCATTCCCGGTTGATATGAAAAATGATTTATAAGAAATCAAATTTATGGCTTTTTTTATTATTGAATAATTACACTAATGATAACATTACATGTATATATATACATAGCATATATTATTATATGCTACATAGCATATATATTATATATTATATGCATATATATATACATTGTTGTCTATGTATGTAAGTATTTTTGAAAGCCCATATCAAGAACTTGACTTCGGATGGAGTTTTCTAATAACTTCAGCAATTTAAAAAAATGTTAATCTCATTAAACAGTCATGATCCCTTAATAATGAATTATATGTAAATACATAATGTAGAAAATAAATTTATTTCGGAAAGCCTAAATCCCCCATAGATACATGCCAATGTATGAGTATAATACGCACACACATACAAACATATGTTGTCCATGACACCATGGCCCTAGCCTATTGCCAAACCATTTCTTGATAGATTTTTTTTTAATAATTTAAATATTTCAATCTCACAATTGGGAACAGATATCCCCAAAAGGAAATGCTGGTATAGTTCCTTTTGGGAATGTGTAATGGCACTTGGTTGTTGAACTCGACACCAGGATGTCACTCGTCGATAAATGTGAACTAACAGCCCTTCATATAAATACACTCTTTGAGAATACGCTGGCAAAGTTCTCAATAGCTCTACATCTAATATCTTCTGAAACGAACGACGTTTTCCATGTGCAGCAAAAATTATCCTAGCTTAATTAAGATCATGATATAGGTATATATGTACTAAACTGTAACTTGTCATGCATAAATGCATCAATTCTCAATATGTACCCTAACTGCAGCTCTAACCCCTAATCTGTTTTCATGGCTCTTGCAAACATTAACTTGAGTCCAATCGATCTTGGACTCCTTCTTATTGGAGTGAAGTTTTTCCACCTTTACCCAGGTTGACTTCAATTAAAATCGCACCACTGTCAATTCATACTTACTCACACTAGCAGCACCTATCCATATTCCAACTTATGTAGTGCGTGGATTAGCACACAATAATAACAACAATGGAAATACTAACACCTGAGAAGCACACGCTCTGTTAGTCTGAACAGTTCATTTATTTTATCAGTATCACTAGTTGTGGTATTTTGAGAGTTAACGCATAAACCACAGTTAGTTTTATTAACTTAACTATTATTAATTAATGTGAGGATAAAAAAATTCAATAATGACAACATTAACAGCGACAAAATACTTATTTTCTATAAAAAATAATAGAATAAACTACAAGTACTTTAAGAATTATAAAAATTTCTATAAAATACCTCTCTATAAACACTTGTAATAGTATAATAAAAAATATTTTTTATAGATTTTAAAAAATATAAATTGGTCAAGTACCGGCTTATCACATATTTTCTTCTCGAATCTAAACACTTAAAATCCCCACTTTTCAATAAAAACAAAACAAAACGATTAAAATTAATCTATCACAAGTGTCGCGTACTTACAGTACACCCATATCTCAAAGACCCGATGGGGTTTTAATAAAAATTTTATTGTTTATTGTAAATTACGTTATCGGTTTTTTTATCAATTTCAAAAGAAAGCCCAATATAAAAGAATAACAGAAATATGGCATTATGTATATTAATATAAATAAATACTCATTTATTTAATTAGCAAAAATAGACCATCTAAATTTAGATAGAATAGACCTTCTTTGTTGTTCGAAATACAAAATCAAGAAATTAAATATAAAAAAATATTTAAAAATTATTTATTTTATTTTATTTAGGAATTAATGTGATTAAAAAAGTTGTTCAGTCAAATACAGCAGTCATATGTTAATAATACGTAAGTCCCTCAAAGTCTCAACTACAAATCCCACAAAAAGAAGAGCACTTAGTCACCATTCCTTGGAGGGTGAAGAAAAGTGCAATGATTGTAAAAGTCAACACAAATAATTTATTTAAGTCATGAAAAAATAATCTTTATAAGGGGAACTAACTGCATGGAGGCAAATAAAATATTTAATTTAATTGAAAGTGATTGAGACAATGAACCATGCAGACGACATGTTGGGTGAGTCCATTACGTACAAATAATTTCCAGCTCAGTTTAATTTAAATAATAGGAGACATGCAGACTGGTACGATTGCAAAATTATCGCAAGTGAGATTCAGAAATACCTACCCAAACAGATTGACTTTCACTGATTGACGATTCAACGAGGTGTCATGTATCTCTGTCATATAAGTACTCGCATTTTCTATAAATCTGCAGTGTCCCACCCATCTCACTGATTAGTTTGTGTTTTACACATAAGCTTCGTGATTATTCAATGACTGATCTAAGATCTGCATACCACCCCGTGCGGTTAATGATAAAACTTTTAAGAGTTTTGGAAAGTTTTACTCCGTACATAAGTTCCAAAAATATCTATTAAGAGGAATAAATTGTAAACTTTTTGATTAACTCTTTAATTGATCTTCGTAAGTGTACTACACGACAACATTTGGTTCCGATCGGGAATGTGGACTTCAAATTTTCTAGCGAAGTAAAATGCCAAGCTCATGCAATTTATCCCCTCGCAAATAACCATGCCATTAATCCATATTATAGATAGAACTGTTAAGACTACCACGCGTATTGATATTTGAGTACAGTATAATTGCACTTAATAGTCCCGTTTTGACTGAAAGGTACCTGTAATTGTGACTGTATCGTAATTGTGTGAACCATTCTTAGATATACATATGTATCTATATTCGTAAGTTATGATGATAGGATGCATCTTATATCCGCCCAAAAAAAACTCAAATCACTATAAATGCCAATCCTGATTTATATAGTTGTACCATGAAAACTTATGTCATTATAATCAGAAGCTATCTCAGAACTAATACCATTGAACTGCACAGTTTAGAACTGAACCCCCTCTTTTTAGACTACATAAAGACAGCACAGAAATACCACAAATAATAGAGAAGCCAACATTCAACTAAGATTGTTGCGCCACTAATGATGATGATATATTGATTAATCCTTTAACTCCTAGGAGAAGCATGGGGCCACAATGATGATGATGATGAAACCCAATACTAAATAACTCACAGTTATTTATGTTTCAGACATAATATTGTAAATTGATGAATACTCTATTAATTTATGGCTCTGACTTATTGATCCTTCAACATTTCCACCAGTTTCTTTCTTTATTCCTATCTTATACCTTCTCATGTTTACCGTTGAATCCGATACTGGAAATTTTTTCATTCTTATATATGCCTGCTTGCCATTTCAATTTTGGGGAGAAGGACAACAGCAACGAAGTGAGGGCCCTATAACGTATATTAAAGTATTGGAACGTCATTCTTTGTGGTACATAAGGAAAACTTGAATGAATAGACGTTGATTATGCTAATTTACAATTAGTATTTTAAATTCTTTAATTAAATTAAGCAACCTACAAATTCAATCAATAGAAATCTGTAGGGCGGAGTTATTGTAACCGCCAATGTTGTTAATATTGAAAGAAATTTTAATCCACAAAAGTTAATTTCAAATAAACAATCAATGAAAGAGTTTTACAAAATTTTATTCAATTTAAAAAAAATTTATACAAATGAGTAGATTCTAAAATTACTTAATCAATAGGCTTTAAGCACATTTTGTATCAAATGGAAATAATAGTTTAATTTAAAGGAACATTTTTTCAATAAATATATAAAGGTTTTACTTTGTGATCTAAAACAAATTTACATAAAAATAACAGTATTTGAAATAACATTAAATAGCTAAGCAATATTAGAAATAGAAAAAAATCTATCTAAAAGATCTGTGTATATAATTATAAGAAAAAATTTTTAATATATATAAAGGCATCACTTCAATATTAATATTTAAACACGAATCTTAACATTAGAAATAGTATAAAAAAATTCACAAGTATTTAAAATAAAAACAAAAAAAAAGAGTATAAAATATGGATCTAAATACGTAACATTTCCAAATATTTGTGACAAACTCATTCAACTAACATAGATTTTTCTTCAACTTTATTCTCTTCTACTGTATTTTCAATAGCATCCGCTTTATCAATATTTATGGTTGATGGGGCCGCATTGGAGACATTGGAAACTGCGGTATCTTCAATAGCATCTGCTTTATCAATATTTATGGTTGTTGGGGCTGCATTGGAGACATCGGAAACTGCTGCATCAACACTCTCAGTTTGTTTATTTTCAGTTTTTTCAGAACTATCAATTTCACTTTTACTCTCTGTTACCTCTTCACCTTTTACTCTTTCGAAAAGTATGATTAATTCAGTGTGTGTAGTGTGGGGGAACATATCAACAGCTATTGCAGTTTTAGGGAAGAATGGATTGCTTTTATATTGTTTCGACTGCGGTCGACCAAGTTCAATCCAGTTCTTTTGAGCGTGCATGGGGTTACAAGATATGTACACAATGCGGTTTATAGTCGATGCGGCTCTGAGGGCAGCAATAGAACGATTATCTAAATAATATAAATGAATTAATGAAACAATATATAAATAATCTAATTAATAAGACATACGTAAACCAGCTCTAGGTGGATCAACTACGGCTACAAGATCCAATTTATCACCGGGCGCATTACCATAAACGACCTCTCGCACCATAGACTGTATATAGTCATCAGCATTTCCCACATAAAATTTACAGTTTCCAATGCCATTATTTTTGGCATTCGTTTCTGCATCGCGTATAGCATCTTCAATAATTTCAACTCCCAAAACTTGCTTACAATGTTTTGCAAATGCCAAAGCTATGGTACCCGTACCACAACAAATATCCAGAACAGTTGTTTGTGGGGTTGGTGCCGCTAAATCTATCGCTTGCTGATATAAAACATTAGCACCTTCGGTATTAATTTGAAAGAATGCCAAAGGACTTATTTGAAATTTTAAGTTATGTATTTCATCTGTTATGAATTTAGTGCCTGAAATATATTCAACAGGTGACACATATTGTCCAGCCTGTCTATGTTTGACATCTTGATAATAAAGTGAAGTACATTTGTAACCCTTTTCATTCTGTGCACTCTCATAGAAATTTTTAAGTTCCATTTTCAGTTCATTTAACTCCTCTTCCGTTAAGTTTGACGTATACAGTCCTGGCACAATCATAATTTCATCCGTTTTAGTTGAAGTGCGCACCATAACTTGTCGGAAGTGTCCTGAATTTGTTTCTGGTTTAAATGGCAAAAATTTTGATTTCCTAACAAAATCTTGAAAACTATTTGCCGCCCACTTTGCAGTTTCTGGTATGTGCGGCAAATTGTGCACTTCTGACACTTCAGTGGAGCCATCAGCGTAACTACCCAAACGAAAACCAACAACAATTTCACCATCAGCATTTTTGCCAACAGTGAACTCATTTTTATTACGATAGCCAGTGGTTTGTGGCGAAGGCTGTACGCCTTTAAATTCAAATGCTTCGGAATGCTGTCTAAATTGAGAATTTGTGTATTTTAGTTTATTAAGAAACTTCTGTAATAGCTCATCCATTTCATTATGTTTATGCTTCAGCTGTTCCTCATAGGTTAATGAAGCTAATGGACAAATTGCATCTGCTGATGTGCGTACACGTTTGATGTTGCCATCTTTTTGTTCCATATTACGGCGTTTCATCAAAGGATCTGCAGATGCTTTGGCTATCTAAACTCATAGCAATAATAATGAATAACATTTATTTATATTTCTCATAGTACTTACGATTGCTTGTAGCTCTTTACCTTTCCACCTGTAGCCGTTAAGCAATTCAATGGCACGTTTTTGTTGCTCTTCACTGCGGAAGCAAACAAAAGCAAAATCTTTTCTTTTGGGCGATTTTATTTTTGTCATGTCCAACTGCAATTTCGTCTTAATCAACTTTTTGAATTCCTGTATTTAAATGTTAATAATTAATTTTTTTATTGAAATATGTTAACTTACTCCAATGCCGAAATAACCCAAATTTCTGACTTCAATCTTATAGATTTCTGAGGTGAATTCATTGCGTTGCAAGTACGAAAACTCATCAAAGCTTTGCGCTTCTGTGTCTTTATGCGCTTCTTCACTCGGGTTTTCATCTGGTATATTAATTTCCTGTGGTTTCTCTGTTTCAGTTTCCATTATTTAAAACAATATTATTAATGAAACTTTATTTAAATAATTTTCGCAATAAATTGCTTTGCAACAACAGCAACAGTTGCCGGCATTCAAGGGAATAATTCACGTGCGCTTAAATGTCAAAATCATATGCATTGTACAGTATGAATAAAATTTTTTGCAACATATGGTACAAATGTATTTAAGCCGTGTGCGAGTTAAATTGAGGTAAATTGAGGGAAATAGTAAAATATATGGGTAAGGCAGGGAATGTTGGTATTAACCAGAACTTCGTGTAGGGTAAATTAAATAAAAATCAGGTAAATTGGGTATAACCATTGTGACAATTTTTTAAGATGTTGAATATATAAATAAATAAATTTTAAAACTTTTAACCAAAAATAAAAAATAACTGCAATAAGTAAAAAAATATATATTTATTTGAATTACTTTACCTTAATTTACTCCAACTCGCACACTCCCTTACAATATTTTAATATAAATTTAAAAGTAATATTAATTGTTAAGAAGAGAATTGTTTTAAGATGTAGCTTGTATTATGATTATTTTCATTTATTACAATAAATTAATCATCATAATTCAATTTATTATTAAAATTAGGTCGTGTGCGAGTTAGGCTAAGGTGATGCTAAACCAAATGGGAGATTTTTTGGGATTTTTTGCACTCCACACATTTAGCCATTTATCAACACGTATCGACACATCACTACATTATCGGCACAACTTAGAATTTCCCTCATTCCCTCATTAGAGTGAGTTGTTCTAATTTCATGCTAAACTAAAAGGGATTTTATTTGGGTTTTTTTTTGCACTGCAACAACATTGTTTTAGCAACATTGTTCAAAAAAGTATGCGAGCTGCATTCTGACAGTTAATATCAGCTGTGAATACATTTTGTTTTCATTACTTTGTTTACATATTTTACGATGGCGGAGAACATACAAGTCGACGAAGCATTTTTATTTAAGCGATTTTTCGAATTAATTCAATTAAATAATCGTCGTAAGATAATGATAAACAGATTCTTGGAAGAATATCCAGAGGTAATTACAAAGTAATTTCAGTTAATAATATAAATGATCAGTTTGACTATTTAGCACGGGCTCTTATGCCAAAGTGGATATTCTTCCGAAATATTTCGAGCTGTTGTGAAAAAAGATAATGTAATCATAAGAAAACATTTAAGACTTACAGTAATAGCATTAGAAAGAGTTTTCAATTACGGTGCAAGGTTTATAAATACTGAAAAAGGATGGAGTGACCGGTTTATTATTACTGTATTTTTGTATTGGCTTGGTTGCGGTGCAAGCTATCGTGTAACGGGAGCTTCATTTGGAATTTCCAGATACACTGTTAGAGATATTGTGCACAAATGCTTGAAAGGGTTCCTTTCCCTAAAATCATCGGTAATAAAATATCCAGCTGAAAGTGAGTTTGAAGGCATTTGCACAAAATTTAACCAACGAGCCGGCACTACAATTTTCAATCGTGCATTAGGTGCCATAGATGGAACACATATACCAATAGATGTACCCACACTACTTCGTGACCAATACATGAACCGAATGTCCTTTACATCCATCAATTTACAAGCTGTATGTTCCAGTAGTAAGGAATTTTTATCAATTTGTGTTGGTTTCCCAGGATCGATGCATGATGAGCAGGTTTTAAAAAGCAGTGAATTATTTAATTTGCGAAATTTTCCTCCACCAGGCTACTACCTGTTAGGCGATAGTGCATATTGTTGCCGGACTAATCCGATTGCAATTCTCACTCCATATAAAAGATTGCAGCCGTTAACAGCAAGACAAAAGAAATTTAACGAGCTTCATAGTAAGGCTCGTACTGTTATTGAATCTACATTTGCTGCATTGAAAATGCGTTGGCGCTCAATTTTTGACAAGGTTCTTAGGTTAAATCTTGAACACTGTGTTCAAACAGTAGCTGTAGCATGCGTAATGCATAATATATGTCTGAATGATGGATTTGAAATTGATGAAGTCTTAGAGGACTTGAAATATGAGGAAGTTCTGATTGAAGACGAAGACATTGCTGCTGCAGTTATGCGCGATGAAATTGCAAACAACATTCAGATGTAATTGAAGTTTAGACTTCAAATTTTTTTAAAAATTCCTATTTTATTAAATAGTTTAAATAGTTTGTAAATTAAAATTTTTTGTTTTATATATATATAAATATAAGATTTAAAAAGATATTTTAAAATTCAAATTAAAATCAAAAAATTTATTTAAAATTATTTACCAAAATAAATTACAAGCTATCTTATTATTAATTAAAGCTATGTATAAATGTATAAAAGTTGTTAAAATAACTTGCAAGCTATCTTATTATTAATTAAAGCTATCTTTCAACTAAACGGTCTATTATTTAGAGTCGGACAATGGTACTTGTAAGGAAAACGTAATATACTGAGTAAAAGCAGCCCGTGCTACTCTCCTCCTCGTCCGTCTTTAAAATCGAGGCAATGAAATCTTGCCATGTTGTTCTCCGGCTGGAGGAACTAACTGATAATGCATTCCATGATGTGGATGCAGTATCAAGTCCTAGACTACCCTCTTCACTATTAATTACTAATGGCGAATTGAAATTGTGAATCTGATTGCAATATTCATTAAGTTGGACATAAATGGACCAATTTATTGCCGTGTCAGCGCCTTCGCCGCCTCTACCTATTGGTAGATTTTTGAGACGCTAAAAAATAAAGTATTATTATTCTGTTGTATTGAGAACAAATTCCTTTTACCTTGTATTTTTTCAACAAATTGAACCACCGTTTTTCAAGTGTAGTCCGGTCATCGTTCGCACCACATTGCACACCAACCAGTCTGTAAAATAAAAACGTAATTTTTAATATATACAGTAACCCCCCTATAAAGCGTTAGATTTTTTCCGCTTTATAGGGGTATTCCCGTATACCCTGTATACACACGTGCGAAGGTACGCGAAGCTAATTATGAACTGTTCAAATCCCAGCGTTATATGGACGAATGCGGCGATTGAAATCGAGTAAAATAAAAACGCGTTATAGGGGGGATTACTGTATTTAGTGGCACATAATTTAAATTAAATTTAAATTAAAAGAAAATAAAAACAGCAAATTTTTTTTAATAAAAATAAAACTAAACGTTTTATTCTTTTTTGTCATTTTTTTATATTTTCACTCATTTTTTTATATATTAAACATCTTATGAAAATATTAAAATGGCAGCCCTGACGATTTTTCCAATTTAGTTTGGAAAGCACTTGCTAATTTATATTAATGAGTGAACGTTCACATTATAATCAGCTCGTTTATGCAGTTGATATAACTTTTTTAAACTTCACTGAATAGCATATCACATAAAAAAATGTGTAAAACTTCGAGTAAATAGAGGGAAATAGTAAAATATGTCGGTATGGCAGCGATTGTTGGTATTTATCAGAATTTCGAGCAGGGTAAATTAGTTAAAAATTAAATTAATTATGTGTTACCATTGCAAAAATTATATAAAATGTTTAATAAATAAATAAATAAATTTGAAAACTTTTAACCAATAATAATATATAAGTGCAATAAATAAATAAATATTTACATAAGTGCAGTGCAAAAAATCCCTAGGAAATTTCAATTTGCTTTGCCTTAATTTAGTCAAACTCGCACATGGCCAAAATATATAATTGATATATTCAATCATTTATATACATTTTATACACCAATTACATATGCAATTAATAAAAGCAAAAATTTTATTAAATACTCAAATCATTAAATACTTAATTCCTCAGTGTCTTTGTTGCCAGTTCAGCTGTTTATTTACATTTTACATATAAAACATATAACACCTTTTTTAAATTTTGTTAATTTCTCTTGTGGGAAATTTAATTTTAAGGGGTGCATTCGGGTGCATGATAATGAGCTCATTTATATCAAAGATCACCATTTTTATGTAACTGTCCGACGCTTTTTAACTTATTTTTCATTTAAGTTATTGTTTACTTCGGTATGACTAATGGCGTTTTCGATTGATAAATTTGGGGTAACTTTTTTAATCGAGATTCACTTTAAGTGCAATTTTCCTTTTCGATTCGTAATTTTGTATAACACTCGAGATTGATTTATAACACTCTAGTTTTGTTAGAGTAGAAAGATTACCCTGAAGTTAACAGCTGTTTTATATGATGTGATTGATAAAAAAGTGTGATTTTACATGTGATTTTGAAAATATGAAATAAAATAAAAATACTATAATAGTTCATTTAGCTGCAAATGCATTGTCCTGTGACAACGAATGATCAAATAAAGTTATATGGTATCAACTTGTTACCATATGGTTTTATTGGATTCAAATCTTTTCGATGCTTTTCACTTTCCGGAAAAAAAGCCTACAATGTTCTTGTTTCAATTGATATCTAAAATTTTTGTGGTTGTGTTAGTAAATAAACCAGGTAAATTAAAATGTTCACACTAACGTCTTTTTCTGTGAAGTTGCACACAACATTCACCACCAAATCTTCACCTTCACTTTTCTCCATTTTTGCAAATAGTAACAGGTTGAAAATTATATCTTCATCTGCGTTTGCAGTCAAATGTGCTATTATTTTGATTTTATGCCTTATTTTAAAAAGACAGCCATATATATAAACAAACAAATTTGACACATTTAGAAACAAATCACACTTTTTTATCTGTTAAATCATATAAAACAGCTGCTAATTGCAGAGTAATCTTGCTACTCTGCCAAAATCTGTAGTGTTATACATTAATCGCAAATGTTATATAGATTAACCTTACGAAAATAAAAATTGCACTATAAGTGAATCTTGATTAAAAAAGTTGCCCCAAATTTACTAATCAAAAACGCCATAAGTAACCGGTTTTTTGTTTGAAATCTGCTTTCAAAAGATTACGCTTAATACTAAATAAAAATTTCTGATAATATAATGTGTGATAACATATAAAAATCACGGCATAATGCTGTAATTATTTATAACTATGTTAACTCCTAAATTGAAATTTTCGGCTATAAAAAAGTTTTTTGCGCACAGCTTCTCATTTAAGTATTTCATATAAATCTCTGTAGTTCCACTATTGTGAATTTAAATCTTGACTGTGTTAAAGAAGATCAAGCGATATGGCATCACTTAGGTTTTGAGACATCTTCGAAGCAAATTGGAACGATACGAAGAAATGTTAGATGCGGAAAGTTAAAGTAAAGAAAAATATAATTAAAGACTTTGTAAAAAGTGAAAATTTAAATAAGAACACAAAAACCAGCAACGGAGAGGAAATGCCACTTATATCAACACCACTGGCGCTGGTAAGGCAATTGTGCACATGCAAAAATTTAATATACATTTTTTTTCACAGCTGCAGAATGCCATTGAACCGATGCAAATTGATGCACCGCTTGAAGATAACGACAACAATGAAGAGCAGCAGCTTATTGTTGAAAATCCAAACATAGACTTGGAAGTTTATGCAAATTCATATGAGGGTTTAGCGCGTTTATATCGTTTAACTTTTGTTGCGGATGTCTGTCCAACTTTGCGTTTGGAAGCACTTAAAATGGCCATCAGCTATGTGACAAACACTTTCAACGTTACACTGTACCAACTGTTACACAAAAAATTGAAAGATTTACAAACGGGTAATGGGCAGGGTGGTGGTGCTGGTGGGGGTGCTGCTGCAGGTTTACCTGATGTAGCAGCACCGGCAGCAGTGCAACCAGTAGTCACAGGCAATGGACAAGATTTGCCAGTATTTGATCCCAGTTGGGTGGAAACTAAAACGAAACAAGCAGCGCTCAAACTAGAGAAACTGGATTCTGATCTGAAAAACTACAAATCGAACTCAATAAAGGAGAGCATACGACGAGGTCATGACGATTTGGGTGATCATTACCTCAGTTGTGGTGATTTATCAAACGCATTGAAATGTTATTCACGTGCACGTGATTATTGCACCAGCGGCAAGCATGTGGTGCAAATGTGTCTGAACGTCATAAAAGTTTCGCTTTACTTACAGAATTGGTCGCATGTCTTAAGCTATGTTTCCAAAGCAGAAGGAACACCTGATTTTGCAGAAAGCGGCAAGGACACTAATCACGTTAGTAAATAAATTTTTAAAAAGTTTTAAGTTATTTTTTAATATGAAATTTGCAATTTCTAGGCTGTGTTAACTCGTCTCAAATGTGCTGCTGGTTTGGCCGAGCTGCAGTCTAAGAAATACAAAGCTGCAGCTGAGTATTTTCTAGCAGCGAATTTCGATCATTGTGATTTTCCAGAGATGATCTCGACTAATAATGTTGCTTACTATGGCGGTCTCTGTGCGCTGGCTACATTCAATCGTCAAGAGCTCAACAAACTCGTGATAAGTTCCAACTCATTCAAGCTTTTCCTTGAGCTTGAACCACAAATACGCGATATCATCATAAAATTCTATGATTCAAAATATGCTGCTTGCCTCAAGTTATTAGATGATATACGTGACAATTTATTACTGGACATGTATTTAGCACAACATGTTAACACGCTATATACCAAAATCAGAAATCGTGCTTTAATACAATACTTCAGTCCGTACCAATCAGCCGATATGCATAAAATGGCTGCGGCTTTTAATCGTTCAGTTGCCGCATTGGAAAATGAACTCATACAGTTAATTTTGGATGGTCAAATCAAGGCACGCATTGACTCTCACAAGAAAATATTGTATGCTGAGGATAGAGACGAGCGTTCCAGGTCCTTTGAGTATGCCATGAGTATAGGCAAAGAGTACCAGCGGCGTTCACGAATGCTTGTGCTACGCTCAGCTATCATTAAGAGCCAGATCCATGTGAAGGTAAAACTTGATTCTAAAACTTATTGTATGGAAATTAAATTGTTTTTTATGTTTTTGTAGAATCTGCCAAGAGAGCCAGTCAATCATGCAACGGATTTGTGTGTAGCCGCAGGTTCCAGCAGCACAACCACCGTTAGAAACTGAGAGTTCGTTTAACATTAAAATTTCACGTTAAAAACATTTTTAAGAAAAACAAAACATGAGAATTTTGCAAAAAAATAAATAATAGAAAATTTAATTATTAATTTTTTATTAAATTGGGGAAGGAATTGATGTTTTGTTATAAAATTTATTAATTTTAATTAAATTAAAAAAATAATTTTATGTGTAAAACAATAGTAAAGTGAAATGATGTATCTTCCATCTTCCAAACAATGACAGGAACCGAGGTGTGTTGTATGTGACCTAGTATTTCTTCTCAGTGCTTTACTTTTCATGTGAGGCTGAAGACTGCTTTTTCATCTCAACCGTGGTGCGTTTGGTATCGTTATGGCGCTTGTTATCATTGCTACTGCGAGTGTTACTTTCTGCATTTTCCTTGGATTGAGTACGACTTTGACGATCCGCTGACTTTAAACGAGGTTTTCTCTCTCTTGAATTGGAGCGGCGGCTTCTATTGTTTACTTGTAGCATTTTTTTCTCTTGATTTTTAGTATTATTTTCGCTACTGAAAGGATTTTTAATTTTTCTTTCTTCAAACCTAGCAGCGCGAGTGTCCAGACGATCGGCTGCATTAACAGAAGGTTTACGTTCTATCGACTTAGAACGTTTACGTTTTGTAGGAGATGGCGATGCACCATGTCCATCTACGCCATTTGCTTGTCTTTTAATGGGTATCTCATGCTTATCGCGACTTTTTTCCTGTGAATTAGTTACATTCTTAACAGCAATTCTATCACGAGTACGTGATTGTGATTTTCTTTGCTTCAATGTATCCCGTTGTGCCTCACGAGAACGTGATCCGGAATTTCTTTGATCACGTGTACATGAATTAGCTTGTTTCTCGCGAGAACGTGAACGTGATTTTCTTTGATTAACTTTGTGTTTGTCTGCTTGTCTCTCACGAGAACGTGATGACTTTCTTTGATCCACCTTGAATCTATCTACTTGTCTCTCAAGAGAACGAGAAGATTTTCTTTGATTCGTTTTAACTCCATCTGTTTGTCGCTCACGTGATAAGGTTTTTTTTTCATTCATTTTAATTCTATCCGCTTGTTTCTCGCCAGAACGTGATCGAGACTTCCTTTGAATCCGTGCATATGAACTTGCTTGCTTTTCACGAGAACGTGATTTTCTTGCATTCTGTCTAAATCTGTATTCCTGTTTTTCGCGAGAACGTGATCGAGTTATTGTTTCATTAATTTTGTATCTCTCTGCTTGATTCTCATAAGAACGTGCCGGCGATTTTCTTCCCTGCATTATGTTTCTGTTCACAATCCTGTCATTTGATTGGAATTGTTGAAGCATTTTATTTCTATTTGAATTTCTTTCACGAGAACGAGAGCGCGACTTTTTTTCATACACTTTGTGTTCATTAACACGGCTTTGGTGGGAACGGGATCTAGATCTTTGTTGCAATTTGGATCTTTCAACATTTCTTTCACGAGAATTGGATGGCGAACGTGTGGACTTAGTATCCCTTCTTACCAAATCAGTGGAGTTATTGTAATTTCTGAACTTATCATTTGCAAAACCTTGCTGCCTCTCAAGCTCCATATGTCTTTGCCTTATATTTTGTTCACATCGTTCAATTGTTTTTCGCAAATCATCGTCAAAATTGGGATTCCGTGATCTATTTTTCCAACCTCGTTCGTTTTCATTTCTTCTCTGTGTTGTGTTTCTCTCGAATGATTTGAATCTATGTTCACTTTCTCTATCGTGTGCCTTGATATCTTTAGCGGTTGAACTTTGGCCCACATTATTTAAAGTAGAGCGCTGTAATTGTTAAAATTTAGTTTTTTATTAAATATAATATAATTAATTATTATAATTAAGTAATTTACATACTTTTCCGTAATCATTTCTTAATTCATTTCTACGTTCAGTTCTCTCACATTCGAGCCCATTTTTATCTGCAGATAATGAATGTTTTTGTTTATTGCTGTGACCATTTACTTTCTCCATACTATCATCGTTCTCTTCCGCATCACTATCAGAATCAGTTGAGGTACATGATTCTTCTGATGTTGCAGATGACGGACTTGTAGACGCTCTTCGCTTACGCTTGGCTTTCTTAGACTTTTTTGCTTTCTTTTTGCTTTTGAGCCTATCGCTATACTCAGTTGAGTCACTATCAGATCCTGAAGATTTATTATTTTTACGCTTCTTTGATTTTCGGGTTTTCTTCTTGTTTAAACCGCGTTTGTGTTTATTTTTTAATTTTTCAATTTTCTCCAACTTTTTTAATAACTTTATTTTTTGCTTTTTTGTCAGAGATTTCAAGAACGCAACCTCGGCAGCTCCCTCCTCATTTTCATTGATATCGTCATCGCTACTTGGCACCAAGTTGTGATGGGAGTTCATTTGGGGAATATTTTGTAGCTCCTTTGCAGTGCGTCTCATTATTAAGCCATCCTCTCTCATTTGCTCTTCCAACGCATTCTTAGACATTATATTATTAGCTTCAGCTTCTGAATGTATCTTACGCGCTTCACTCATCGATACGCTGTACATCGTGCACTCTTTATCCGTGTTAATGTGACCCCACTTGTGGCATTTTATACAGCGCACATTGCGTACTTGTATGCCAAACGGTTGGTCACGTATCTCTGTGTCCCCCTTACAGTACGACTCACGTGGCGCATTGTACTGACGCTGCCATTCAAACTTGTATTCTGGCTCGTTTTCGTCTTTCCGATCGTTCTCCTTACGTACGCCCGGCGGTGGTTCATACATGAAATTAACACTGAGCTTATCTTTGCTTTCCTTGCTTAACATTGCCTTATTTTCGTGTAGATTTTGTTCCTTCTCATATTGTTGGCGTAATTCCTCTTGTTTTTTCTTATACGCCTCAGCCTGCTGCTCAGCCATCCAAACCTAGAAAAAATAAACCATTCCATATTTGTACAATCCTTCGTATTTATTGAGTAGTGCATTTTACTTACCCGTTTTAGATTGTCTCTAGAAGCGGGATGGAAGAATTTTTTGCACATGTAATTGTTAAACCCTTTACCCATCTTGACGTTTGAAATTTATTCACTTTTCTTAATCAGTAGATTTTTGAAACTTCTTTCTTGAAAGAAAAGAAGTTGATGTATTAATTTCTTCACATATTCTACATAAAACTATTTTTCTTTGAACTGTCAATTGTGACAGCAACAACAAAACAAAAACAACAGAAAAGTGTTGCCAAGTCAAGAAAAACGTTAGCTCAGAAAATTCAAGTAATCACACAATAATTATTTTAAATAAATATTTAAATATTTATTTATAACTTATTATTATAAGACTGTAAAAGTTTTGTAATTATTAACTATATGTTTTTTATTTAAAAATAAATAATACAATAAATATAAGCGCTAATAATGCACACAATATATAAAAATATATATATTATATACATATTATTTATATATATATATATATTAATTTCATATATATTAGTAAATATTTATTAATATATTAAAATACATAAATTAAAGTAGATGTTGAATTATATTATATATGTACATGTTATAAATGTTAAAATAAACGTATATAATACGTGTTTTTATTTATAAATTACAGAAATTAAATAATACAATAAATATAAGCGCTAATAATACAAAATATATAACAATATACCAACTATATATATGTATATACCAATAAAAATATATTAATTGTATGTATTAGTGATTTTATTTATGTATTTTTAGTTTATGTATGTCTAGTATGTATTTTAGTTTATTTGTCTTATTCCGATAAGACAGGTTATATGAAAGGAACATGTTAAGATGTCGACATAGATTTCTTACTAGTAGAGTTATGGAATATATGAAAGGAATATGTTTACTTAAGTTGTGGAAATATTTAATTCCCCTAAAATTATTACTTTCCAAACCTGGCTACTGCCAATGGTGGAATGAAAAGGTAAATGTTTAGAGAGAGTTTGTTTGATAACAAACTCTTGTGTCTAGACTGGTCGTAATATCACAAGTCCATAATGCTACACGTAGGTATTGTTTTCTAAATCCGGTGAAGATGGTTTCTACATCGCTTAAATCATTTTTCTCCGTTAAGGCGGTATTTACGTTTTATTACTTTTCTCTGCTAAGGCGTTTACGTCTTATATATATTTTCTTTCTAAAAGGGGTATTTATGTCCGCGCATTTCCTTTGTAAAGGCAGTATCCATTATATATCTTCATATTTATGTTTATATTTTTCTATTAAGGCGGTGTGTGGTGTTTGCGTTTTTTCATTTCTTTTTTTAAGCAGTATTTAGTCTTATACATATCTCTCTATCATATCGGTGTGCCTTTAGACTTGACAAGTTCACTAAGGTCAAATATTCACCGCGCGTCGTATCCTGCAGGGGATCCAAGAAAAATATATTGAAACACAACATCTGTTTCTCGATTTTAAAGCTGCTTTTGATACTACGGTTAGAAATTTTCTTTATACCTCCTTGTCTGAATTTGGTACTCCAGCAAAACTTATACGAGTATATCCAAATTAATGAGAATATATCTGAACGGTCTGATATAACACGAGGTTTCAGACAGTGTGAGTCCTTATCATTTGATTTCTGCAGTCAAACGTTGAAAACGATAATCTGAGTAGTAGATTTGCGTACACCAACAACAACAACATTATTATAGTGGAGGATAAGAGTACTTTTTCGACAATAATTAAATTTCCTGAGTGTCTTAGGAGCCAAGTTACGTGACAGCTATTATTTTAAAGTTGTAAGCGACTTTGTTTAGTTGTGGAACTAGTGAATGAATGAAAATGCTGATTGAAAACAGGGTACAGGATGTCCGTATCTCTGATATAAGGACCAGATGACCAGCAATATGAAGGCACTGCTGTCAACTGTCGACAGCACGCTAATAAGTAAGCATTATTATAGCATAAAAATTTAATTAAATATCAAATATTATATACATATGTATATACACAAAATCCGTAATATTACCTTAAGAATCCACATCAATATTTATCTTACTCACAGATGTTTTATTAATAAATTGTTAATCCCAAATTTGCAAATTGTACGCACAAAATATTACTTACCAATATTATCGAGAATATTGAAAAATCAACTAATGACAACTTCAAATTTTTCAATTAATATAAAACTCTATTTGCTAGACACTATATTCACAGTGTTGCCATATTTGAAAATAAAAATGATTTAAATGAAAAAATAAAACAAAAAAAGAATTTTGTCATTTACATTAAAATTATAGGTCTGTTATAGGCTTGACTTGAACTGAATTTAAAGGATCAAGCAAAAGCTAACCAAACCAAGCCAATTATGCTGAGATTTGCATTTTTAAGATAAGTGTGGTGGTGTTTGTGGTATCTAAGTTGATTCCTATAGGAGGAACCATAAGCACAATATTGTTCATAACTACTACAGCTTGACTACAGTGATCATATTTAAATCAGCATAAAAAGTAAGTTAGCTTCAATGCACTTGAAATAGTGTAAACAGGAAGCGTGACTTTCGTTTGAAGAAAGGAAGCGTTACTACCTTAGGTTTGATTTTGGTTTATCTTTTTGCGAGCCTCTTTAGACACTTATTTCAAGTGCGATTAATGCTCTCTTATTTCGATGACTTAACCGGAGGTAAGCTTTCCCTAAGTATTCTTACTGATGCTTCATCTTTCACCACCAAGACATAGCATAGCCACAGAGGATGCTTGAGCCTATTATACACCTAGTTCTGGTAATGCTCTCTGATTCTGTTTACTTCACCAGAAAAAAAATTGAGCCTAGATATTCTTTCTTCGAGACATTGTCTTTCATCGTCTTGATATGACTAAGCCAGGGAAGAAGCTATATGTTAAATCGATAAATAATGCCAAAGTCGTGATAAAACTCGATTTATTCGGTTGTAGTCGTCAATTTGTAAAAACTAAAGACACACTCCCTTTTCATGATTTTGTGATATTCTCGATGCTTTCCTTCCACAGATATTAACCGATTTTCTTATTATTTTCTTATAAAAATTGTTCTATACGCTTTTTACCAAATAGTGGAAATTACTTTTAAGGATTAGCTTTTCTGAATGGTGTAAAACTCGACTTTTTGTCAAATAAATTGGTGATCATAATTTTATTGGCTTTAATTTTGAACCCAAGAAGAAGGTAGACTTAGACTTTCAGGTTTTACTTGATGTTCTCATTAATTTTGTTAGGGGCCCTTAATAATAAATAGGGGATTTTCAATAAAAAAATAATACTTTTTATAGTCAAAATATAAACAGCTCACCATTTATAATAGCAATGAGGTCACCATACACTTTATTAACGGGTTTGATTCGCTCTGGTTTCAGAAATTTTCAACAATTAAAATTATAGATCGTTCAATATATTTTTTTTTACGATTGAAAAGTTCTATGCTTCCTCATGTCTACTAAATTACTCAATGGACTACAGCAGTTAAATGGTTCTACTTAAATGTATTTGAACTATGGTGAAGGTCTATTTACATAGAGTTCTAGAGTTTTATCACTGGAAATTGCTCTCTTTGTCACATATATATCTATTTGTAGATATACAATATATCTAATTCAAAAAAAATAATTCGTTTTAAACTTTGTACGGCTACATTGGAAAAGATGGCTTTGACAAATATAAATTTTTGATATGGAAAAGAAAATTAAAAAAAAATTATTATCAACTAGAATGAATTGAAATTAGTTATCAAAAAATTTGTGGCGTTTTATTTTCAAAAAAATTATTCCATAGAAAACGGGAAGTGCTTCTAAATTTAAAAATGAATTTCGCCCAACTTAGAAATTCTGTAAACCTATTATTCCTGGTTTCATTGGCAGTTATCGCTTGGGTCATATTAGTTTATTTTCAATATCTTGAAGAAAGGCGAATGGAGTCTTTCAAAGAAAACTATCTCGGTAAGTAAAAGTATTTGTATATATTAATTATATTTATATTATATGTACTGTAGTTGTCTTCAGGTAAAAATAAAAAATTAAATTTTTTAAACTTCTTTCTTACTATAAATAGCGGTTAGCGGTTCCCTTCATTGGCATTTAAATGTGCTATATTTATTCTTTAATAACACAATATAAGAGGAAAGTAAATCTGAATCGCATTTAAAGCGCTTTGGGGTTAGCAAGAACGGAGCACTATTCTTTTAATAACATGGTTAATGTAAGAAGATGCGTTATCTGCAAAGAGAACGATGTACTTTATTGGTTCTGCAGAGCGTAATAACATCGCTAATAAAGCGCTTGGCTGGCTGCTGGGTGTTTCGATTTTTTAATCTTTAAGAAATTAAAAATAAAGAAATTAAAATTTTTTTTTTTTAATAAAAAAAATTTTTTTTTATATCTGTCAGCTGACAGCTGTCAGCTTGATCTGTCATCAGCTTGATCTACTTATTCCATGAAGTCAATTAATAAGTTTTTTTTAAAATATTTATTGGTCAGAGAATCCCTTGCTCTGAAAAATATTAAATGTTTTTAATATTTTTGTAGTCATTGACTTTTAAGAATCCAATTATATATATTATATATTTTGCCTAGTGTGGGGTAGAGATAAGCCCCCCAGCCATTATAGAGTAAAAGTGCGTAATAGCACTCAAGAAGAACTCAAGAAGAAGAAGAATCAAGAATTGAGTAGTTATATATTCCGTATATATATTCTGTTTATATATATTACCACTTTAATAATAATTAGAAAATTTGAAAATATTTTCCTAATAAGGGGTCTTCAATTTTATAATGTATTATGGAATGTATTTGGAAAAAATTTCGTTGACACAGAGTTACCAGACCTATTTAAAAAAAAATTAAAACAAATTGTCTTTAAAAATATTAATACTCAATATAGTACATAAATAAATTTTTTGTTATGCAAAAAAAATATTCGCTATTTGTTTATAAAATATCAAACTTTTTTTGAATAGCTTTTATTTTTAAAATAATACAATTTTTTTATTTTCTGATTATTTTACGCTTCTGACAGTTAACATGGAAATTGCAAATGTGCCTTGTAAGTCAGATCATTTGGAAGTTTTCTTCAACTTTCTTTGCATATTCGGTTGTCTCTTTATTTTGGCCAAATTGATCCAATACTTAGATCAATGTTTTTCCAGTCGTTTAAATAATGAACCGAATAACAACACTGTTCGACAGACTGAAGTTCGTGAGGGCATTCCAGTTGAGCAAAATTTTCAAGTACAGATTTCCAACTTAGAAGTAGAGAACTCGAAATTGGTAGCAGATCTGAATCAAAAGAATCATATACTAACAGCACTATTGGATATGAGGCAAAATAGAGGTGACGAACCTTTGGATTTAACAAAGGACGCTATAATTGGTTCTGTTGCAGCTGCTAAGAAGAAAGCTCTCTCCAATATATACATTTCCAATCGTCATATTCACTTTAATCGGCAAATCTATGTGAATGATGGAGACTACAATATTGGTTTGAATGGCCTTAATCGTAGATATAAACCGGAGCAGCAAACGAATTGGGGGAAGTATTTGCAAGCGAGTCACCACATTTCTATGAGAGCCTTTGGGGAGTTTGAGCGACCACATTTCAATGACGCATCATCGGTACCAATTGTCACTACAGCCGATCTCCATCAAATGCATGGTAAGCTCTCTTACTTATTACTATATATAAAATTATATTATTAATACATATCTTATGTTATTTCTGTCTATAGGGCTCGTTACGTTATAAGAAAACCCGTACTAATGACCCGTATAAATGCCACAAAAAATTTATTTTTAAGATGTTTGTATGAAATTATAATCCTTTTTAAACTTTGGTTTTTATTGTCTTGGTCTAGTGGAAATTATTTGAAATTATTTTGAAGAATTTCTTCAAAAAACGGCGTTTTTAATTTTCGGACAATTTAAATTTAGAGCTGGTGTAGTATCCTCCGAATGCACTGGATGCTACAAATACAGCATAGGAATTTCCGCAAAATATGTTTGGCTTATATTTCGGAATCAACATACACTTGGGGCATCATTATAACTATTTATTATTTATTTTTAAAATAAAATTAAAAAAAAAATTAACCGTGTTTTATATCTGCGTTTAATAATGTTGTTAAAAAAATTTTAAAATAGAGCAAATTTTGAAGATTGGACTTTAATTCAATTACTTATAACAATTGAGGTTAATTAGCATCAAGCCACCAAGGGGACAAAACCGTCAGCTTTCTGGTTCTCTTCGATATAACGAACTCGTAGTTTATTTTCGAGCCATCCGTATAGGTTAAGATATCGTGGTTTGCTTGAAAGTTTCTTTTTCTCCATTCGTTTTTTAAAGGTAATATCGCCGGAAAATTTCCTTAAAACTTTGATTCAGATAATCCGGTGTCATACTATACAGACAGTTTGGAACAGTACCTAGGATCCTACTATATCATATATATGCTCTGTTCAGACGTCTTCCGATTTTAGCCTAACAGCGGTGTTGCAAACGATATTAGTAATTTGGGGATCGACAAGTAGCAGGTGTAGTATTATGTTTACGGAGTCCGAAGGGTGGTTCTAAAAGCCAACGCATGTTGTCCTCTGAATTCTACTGGGTCTTCGAATGTTATAGGTCATAATCAGAGCTGGTTACCAAACAACAGTGCAATATGTTGCAATTAGACGCACAATGGACGTATATATCCAATGTGTAATATCGCGATGTAACCCATTTTTTCCCAAACATCCATAGATATTGGCATTAAATGTAAAAAATTTTTCGTTTCTTTTGTAAACTAGTGTAATATATATAAATTAGTAAATAAATATCCAAACATTTCTAATAAGTGTATTCAAAATAGCCATTCTAAACTGTGAGAAGTTCCAAAAGATAATATCACATTCTTTACATTAAGATCCGATAAAGTCTTTAGGTATATCACATAGTCTATGACTTATTGTCAGAACTAATGATATATAAGCAATTCAAATGAGTGAATAATTTGCGGTTAGTGTCCGGAAATATTAAAAAATAATTTCATATTAAAATACAACACATCTAGCAGTCTGAGGTAGTACATTTACTGGATCAGTTATGCATATATAATCGTAACAAGATTTTATACTAAATTATGTAGTAATGCTCCTTTAAACTTATACGTCTACATACTTCTGCTCTCTTAACCGAAGAGGGCCATTTATCAGATGACTACTCATTTACATATGTATATCGGTTTAAGCAGCTCTATAATTCATGGGAAGTTTGAGATTGTCACGAAATAGCTTCCCGAAATATCAAAGCCAAAGGACATGATTCATCCGAAATTTAATTTTATAACGAATTCAGTAAGAATTCCAAAAACTAAAAAACTCTAAGATAATTAAAATTTTCCAAATAATTATTAAATAATTTGGGTTTGCAAAATGAAAATAAAATTAAATAAAAAAAATGTGTTTTTACCGCGAGAGAAAAAAATCACCGTTGGTTAAATGGATGAAGATAGAGTAGAGAAATTCGATAAAATATCTAAGACGTATTAAGAAATTTATTAGAATATGTTTATTAGAATATGATATACTTTCAATCTACTTTTATGGAAAAAATCGATTAGAGGTTAGGAATTTAATCCTAAGATTATACCTCGGGAAATGTTTTAAAAAAGTTTACTGATTTTTTATTAATTATTATTTTTATATTATTATTTTATAATTATTATTTTAATTTTGTTATTATTATTAATCTATTATTATTATTATTGTATTTTTTTCTGCTATTGTTTTATTATTATTTTATCATTATTGTTTTATTATTATTACTATCGTGTAATTATTATAACATTATTATTATGTTATTATCATCAATAAACTGTTATTACTATTTCATTATTAATTGTATTCTATTTTAATTTTATTTTATTTTTATTTTATTATTTTGTTATTATTAAAACTTCAGTATATTGTTTTATTAGTCATAAATTATTATTATTTAATCATTATTATTGTTATTTCACTATTGTTATTATTATTATTATTATTATTTCATTATTATATTTATTTTATTACATTTCGTATTATTATTATTATTATTATTATTGTTATCATTATTATTTTATCATCATTGTTTCCTTTTTTACTATTATCGTGTAATTATAATTGTTACATTATTATTTTATTATTATCAATAAACTATTATTATCAATAAATATATTTTATTATTAATTATATTCTATTCTTATTTTATTTTATTATTTCTTTATTATTAATATATTATTATATTCTTTTATTTCATTATTATTATGAAATATTATTATTTTTAATTATTATTATTCTATAAATATTGTTCTATTATTATTATTAAGTTTTTGTTAACATTTTGTTATTAATTTATTTTATTATTAAAAAATTTTATTTAATAATTATTATTATTAATAAATTATTATAATTATTTTATGATTACTATTTATATTGACTTACATTTAGTTTTATCATAAAATCGGACAGTTGATAAGAGATTGTTGAAAAGAAAAGAACTATTCCTCAACACAACGGTCCACACGTCTACATAAGTCCTAACAGTTCCAATGATCATAAGAAAAATAATAAATAAATTATATAATATAATTATGTATACACTTTACTATAATTATGCAGTCAATATCTTTAATGTTTACTGATATTCGGCAGATATTTTAGAAAGGAAGACCCCAGAATGGATTTGCGCCCTTTGGCGAGTATCTGGGAATGACACTGATGGCTAATACACCTTCGTTTTCTTTCGGTCTCAATTACAATAATAGACCCAAATTGATCACACTGTTACGACATAAAACGATTGAAATCGATGCCAATATTTAAAAAAATTATCATTTAGGTTATGTTTACACTACGATCTTTTGTACAACCTTCGATTTGTATGATACTAGCTCCTAGATACCTATTTAGTTCCGTTTCTAGTCGCAGCAATATATGTCCATAGTACGAGCAGTTTCCCGATCCCCGTAGCCGAATTTGTTGCAATCATTCTTATCTATTTTTTTATATAGTATTTAAGATAACTGAGATCTGTCTTTAACTCGGTGTAAATATCATATATCTTTTCTGTTGAGGAGACGTATGCTTTTTAAGATTTTCTAACTGTCAGTAACGGTATTTTCCTACTCATTACCGAATTAAGTTATTTTTGTCAACTTCGTAGAATGGTTTATTTATGGTTTATGGTTTATGTATTAAAGGATTGCTTAAGGTCTTGGTGCCATTTCATTAACTACGTTCCACATTTTTAGGAAGGTTCTACGTTCTCATCGAAATATATGATTCACCAATCTGTAGGCCAAGATCTTTCAAGTTGCACTATGAACTGCAATTAATGGTATTTATTCCAATAAATGGTATTAATTAAATTACGAATGGTAATAAGTGCTATAATGTAATAAGTATTGTTACAGATTTACTTTAATACTGCATTTATCTCCATTAAAAGTCAAGGTTGTATTTTTTTTTTGTTAAAAAAATACTGTAAATATATTGTATATATAAAAAAAAAACACAAGTTTCACGTCCACGTTTATAGCAATTATTCAAAGGGTCGGCTTGAACACCCATTTTGAGAAATAGTTACACTTCTATTATTTGCCTAAAATGCAAGCTTGAACGGATTAAAAGAGTGACACTGAGAACTTTGCATTGAGATATTGAACTCTGGATAACTACTGCAAACTCAAATATGTATACATATATTATAATATTTTAAGTAAAAAATTCTCAAAATTATTATTGTTATATTCCAATGATAGGTCCCTCGACTTTGGCGTTATATGCTGACGATACGTGTATGCTATACTCAGATAAATGTGCTCTCAACATAATCATCACACTTCAAGAGCATATAAACCTCATTCTGGAGTATTTTACAGAAATGGAAAATAAAAATTAATAATGAAAAAACTAAGAGTCTGTTTATAACGCGTAAGTGGAGACAGAATCCGTCGAGAGTGAGAGTGGGTGATATGGTAATAAACTGGGAGGATAGCGTTAAATATCTCGGCATCACGTTGGACAAACGATTCACATGGCTTAAACATGTTCAATTGAAAATAATTAGCTGTGACAAAATTCTTCATCACCTCCAACCGCTATTCAGAAATGAAAATCTCAATGCTAAGAACAGGAAACTGATATATAACCAAATAATTCGTTCGTCACTTCTATATGGATGTGTAGCATTTGGCAAAGCCTCAAACACTACTATTCGCCAGCTAGAAATTGCACAAAGCCAGGCTCTGAGAAGACTTTGTAAAGTATCATGGTACATTAGGACGAATGACATCAGGGACCTCAAGATTGATCCGATCAAAAAATACATAAAGTATAGAGCCTTGAAATTATTTGCGAAAACTGACAGACTTACCAACACAGCGTTATTGAATCTCAGAATGGTTACAGGTTCCTCGGGGAGGTATGCAGATCTGAGTTAGAGAGGGGTTATGAAGAAACCTCGCAGTTAATAGAGAGTAAAAGTGCTCAAGTGCACTGACTCAACTAACCTCAACATAAAGAATAAACAAAATTAATTATTTCTGTTTAAAGTTTTTAATTTTGATATATTTCAAAGACCACCAGGACTTATTGAGACCTATTCTTATATGGTTTATTTGGTTTTGGGTATGGACCACAACAACAATTTTGTTTTAAAACAAAAAATTTATTATGTTTATTATTGTGTTATTCGTCTAGTTATGTATTATTTATTACTGCAGTAAAGGAAAGGAAAGTTGTTTTTCCTTTGACAAAGTAAAAAATCGAATTTCAATATATGTGTACATTTCTTGCAATTAAAAAATTTGTAAAGTGCAGCTGCATCTGTGCACAGCGCTGCACTCACACAATTTGTGTGCTCCATTAATAAAAACAAATGAAAGGATGTGGTTTTCCCACACAATCTGTCCTAAACGTTGTTCTATTCACATTGGTTGGTTATACGAATACGACATGAGCACACCAACGCGTTTATTTGCTATTATCGCCTAACGAACGCAACAGCGTCTACCAGAAAAGTCTGAAAAGTCTTGCCATGCTCC